ATGGTCGTATTGTAGCTGACCATTTTAAATCCTTATGATGCATCCGAGGTAATATGAGAGGGGGCTGGGTACTCACCTGCATCTTCAATCAAGGCACTGTAGAAAGCTGATTCCTGCTGGGCTCAGCAGAAATCATACTACCTAGACAACAAATATTTAGGTAGATCTTAGCACAACCTAGTCTGCTATACTTGCAGAACAAGTGTGTTCAATCCTATAGGGGTAGCTGTTTGGTATTAGTTTAGATAGTTAGTTATCAGTAATGGGAAAATAATCTGAAGCTAAGAACTACTTGTCCAAAGGGAAACTGTCGGGTCTGAAAATATCAGAGTCGGGTCGGGCGTCGGACTATGCGTCGGACTGTCGGGAATGCATCGGATGGTGAAGGAATGTGTTGGAAGTATGTCGGATTGTTGGTCAAATGAGTGTCAGATGTGTCGGAATGTTTCAGAGAAAAAGAGCGGATAGATATTTTGCAATACAGTGAAGTACTAATATCCAATGACTTCCATCCTACTACTGAGTAGGGAAAAGTAAGTAATGCAATAGGTAGGAAGTACTAGATATTAAATAGAGCCTATGTAGAAATTTGGAGTGCTATAGGCAAGAGTAGTAGCAATATTTTGGGTCCGAAATCCTATGTAATAGGACATGTGGTACTGCGGACCATAAGAAAACATGTAATAACGCTATATACAATGCTTAGCAAGTCAAAAGGAGTAAATGTGCACCTAGTGGGGATAGATGTGACTGGACAGGACATAGGGAGGACTGGTCTGATGCACGGGAATGTCAGGTCATGTGTCGGGTCGGGATTGGACATGCGTTGGACTGTTGGACTTGGGTCGGTGTAGTCAGAAGTGCATCAGACAAATACTGTTTGACATTAGTATCAAAATAGCTGGTTCCAAGCCCAGTGCCACGACCATCGTTACAGCGCCAAGGTCATTATGATGCCACAAGCAGTATGGTGATTGCTTTGCAGAGTTCCACTTTGCTCGGACCACCAGATGACCATGGAATCAGTCAACACATCAATGGACTCAACACTCAGCATCATGGAAAACTTTCCACTAGACTTCAGAACAGGAGATATGATGTTCCAGGTTCAGATTGTCCCAATGGCCAACTTCAACATATTGCTTGGTAGACCATTTTTCACACTAACCAGTTGTCAAATAACCAACCTTTCGAGTGGCAATCAGAATGTCACACTAACCGATTCAAATACCAGCAAAGTTGTCAGAATACTGATGGACCCCTGGGCTAGATAGTGCGTGAAGTGTAGGCACAATATGTTGTGTATGGACCATCTGAGTCCAAAGAGTTTTGAAGTACCAATGATCCTCTATTGTGGGGAGATTTACGAACTCTCGCAACTTCCATCATTCCTTATTATTTATGTTCCAAAACTAATATCCATCTTGCACTATGCACGCACACCTTGCTCTCACGGTGCATTGATACCCTGCACATTCCCATTGGTGCATTATAATTATCTCGTAACAACCCATTCGGTCATTAACCGCTCATCTGTCCATGTCTTTAATAGTGTATATTCATTTGACAAAACCAAGCACACACTGGTCTATAAGCTGGTTGCAAAGAAAGTCTGAACTATACAAATGGCCATGCCCCCCAAATATCAAGTTATAAGAAAATTACCCAATGATCCTGTGGCCAGGAAGCTAAAAAAGAGCATGAAGTGCTCTTTTTGCTTCCTGTACCCAAAGGCACAACAGGTGTGTGCTAGTAAGAAGTAACGAGCAGTAATGATAAGTGAAGTAATAAGTGGTGAGAAGTTAAGTAAGAAGTGGGAAATGAAGATAAGAAGAAGTGAGAGAAGTGAAGTAAGAAGTATATCATCTGGCTCTTTTCTGATACCCCAGATTTGCCTTGAATGCACAGATGAGAAGTAATGAGAAGTAGTGAGAAGTCAGAAACAAAGATGAGAAGAAGTGAGAGAAGTGATAAAAATGATGAGAAGTGTGAAAAAAATGAGAAATAGTAAAAAATAATGAGCAGTGATGAGAAGTAGTGAGAAGTGAGAAACAAAGATGAGAATTGGTAAGAAGTAATGAGCAATCTGTCATCTGACTCTTTTCTGCTCCAGATCTCCCTCACATGCACAAAGTGAGAAGTGATAAGAAGTAGTGAGAAGTAAAGTGAGAAATGATGAGAAGTGTTGAGAAGTAGTAAAAATAAAGTGAGAAGTGCAGTAAAAAAAATGAAGTGAGAAGTGATAAACACGAGGAAATTTGATATATGACATATGACAGCTATCTATGATCCTATATATTATCTATGATTCTGACCTTATAGACATAGCTAATAATCACACAAGGAAGAAATAATGCTAATGTTTGTTGATAAGATAGCATTTATTACCATTAAGCAAACATTTTATAAGAAACAATAATGAGAAGTGCTAAAATCTAAAGTAAGAAGTGAGAAGTAGTGAGAAATGATGAGAAGTAGTAAAAATGAAGTAGTGAGAAGTGAAAAGAAGTAGTAAAAATAAAGTGAGAAGGGGAGGTGAATGTGTAGTCTTTGAAGGCAAAACCCCTAAGACTCAGAGGTTGGTGAAAAATGAAACTCAAGTCAAGTAGCGGAGTCAGACAGAAGTCTTAGACTGGATATATAGAAGTAAGTGGAATAAGTGGAGAAATAGCTGTATATGTCTAAAGATGTGCATGTGAGGGAGGTCTGGAGCATAAAAGAGTTAGATGACAGATTGCTCATTACTTCTTACCAATTCTCATCTTTGTTTCTCACTTCTCACTACTTCTCATCACTTCTCACTCCACTTATCATCATTTTTATCACTTCTCTCACTTCTTCTTATCTTTGTTTCTGACTTCTCACCACTTCTGACTTAACTTCTGACTACTTCTCATCACTTCTCACTCCACTTCTCATCATTATTGTCACTTCTCTCACTTCTTCTCATTTTGTTTCTGACTTCTCACCACTTCTGACTTAATTTCTCACCACTTCTCATTCTTGTTCTCACTTCTCATTACTTCTTATCTGTGCATTCAAGACAAATCTAAAGTATCAGAAAAGAGTCACGACACACTTTACACTTCACATCTTATCATTATTATCACTTCTCTCACTTTTTATCATTATTTCTGAAGGAGTGAGAGAAATAATAAGAAGTCAAGTAGGAAGTGGTAAGAAGTGAGAAACAAAGATGAGAATTGATAAGAAGTAATGAACAGTAATGAGAAATGAAGTCTGGACCATATATAATTGAAGCCCCTATATTTTAATATCTACTAGTAAGTGAAACTCTTGTTCTAATGTACTATAATGTTCAATGCTGATGAATAGTTAGCTTCTCATGCAGAGTGAAGACCAAGTTTGTCTTGCTATTACAGTTAACTTAGGGAAGGCTTCAGTCAAGCTCATGTAAAGTAATGAGAGAAAGAAAACATAAAATATTTGAGTATATGTAATTATCACATACTACAGTGACCTATCTCTGTATTATACAAGTAAACTGATGTACATAATATCCCATATAAGATGGGCCAATGTTATATATATCCTCAATATTGACAGATGGGCTGGAAGAGATATAGGTAATATGTAGAAGTAGGAGTAGCATGGACATGAATATTATAGATAGCTGGGCTGAAGAGAGATGTAAGGCAAATATTATTATTTAGATATGTGGGCCGATGTAGAGATTCGCACTATTGCAGGCTTGCAACACCTTATACTTTAGTTCATACCACCCGGGTTTGCAGCACCAACTCGCAGCATGATTTTCTAGCCTTTCCTTAGCTATTTCCTTATTAGGCGACACTTTCCCATGGGGGGCAACTTTCCCATGCCTTACAATGCCTTCACATTGCTTGCTTTTCCATGCTTTCATTGCCCTATCGTCCAGGAGCATCCATCTACTGTCCAGCAAGTCTCACTGGTACATATTAGAGCATAGACCCTGATTTACATACCTTACTACATACATTATCTCCTACTCGGTGAAGGTTGAACAATTCAGATGGTTAGTCTGAATAATGTTGGGTCTTGCTGCCTAGCTACATTGTCTAGAAGACAGTGTTTGACCCTAAAGGGTTTCTGTACTAAGCTCAAAGCTCAGAGAGAGAGAAAACTACGAAGACTCAAACTCAAGGTGCTGGAAACTGGTGGAGGTAACTTGATTATGTAAGCTACAAAATAGCAAACATAAGGTAAAGACAGTATCTACAAGCCTAGTCAGGAATGAGTCTCTACATCGGCTCAGCTCAGTCTCACTTAGTGAGATACATATACAGGTCCACATTTTTCACTCTTTACCACCACACCAAACCTTACCTTAGTGGAGTTTCCCCATCATGTCCATAGCTAGAGTTAGAATCTATCAGCAGTCTTTTCATTGTCATTCATTAAGCCCTCATCTGTTGCTTGTTTCATTTTGCATAGCACCAACTTTCAACAGTTTAGATTCCTCATCTTCAACTGGAGCCCACCGCGAGGGGCACTACTGAGACTTCTGATAGGGTACTCAGACCAAACATGCATTGTTTAGCTTGCGTGGAATTTATCACACACTTCAGAGAAGCAATAGAAGTATTACCTGACAGTTCACTTTTTGCTACCATATCACCTGCAGAAGAATCCACTGTTGATGGGCTGCGTCCGGTGTAAAGAGTAGATCTGGGCTGGGCTCTACAGAATGTGAGTCCCTAGTCCTGAGAGTTGCAAGTATGCTTCATCCCAAGAGACAACCTAAAGAACCACCTTGATAATGCAAGGGAAGTCTTATACAGTCAGAGAGTAGACAAGATATTGGAAGTGAACCTCTCTAATGCCCGTCCAGAGTTCCAAGACTACGTCTGAAGTACCGAGGTATTGTCCGATGCGACCGAAAGTTGTCTGAAGCTGCGAAAGTGTTGTACAAAGTACGCTTCTCAGGTAGTACGGTAGCAAGTGAAATGCCGCATATTGTAACTTTGATACTGTTCCATCTAACTTGCCTAATATGTATGATCCTCTGAGAGTCCAGCAAAGGACAATCATTGGTCTGATGTACCTCGGCTTTGTCTTCTGGTTTAGCTCGTACTCTATCTTCGAATTCCGCACAAGCACTAAGGTGCCCAGAGCGAAGTCTTGATCTTGGATGGTGTTTCGGAACTTTGTTTCAAATTCTGGGATAGACCAGAACCTTGCTTTTGTGACTTTGTCTTTGATGGAATCTAGATCTTCCTGCCACTTCATAAGTTGGCGGGCGCGCCATGCTATAAGCTCGTCGGAAGTCAGTTTCTCTTGGTTCAGTAAGTCAACTAAGAAGGTTGCTTCGGCGAGATCAAAAGGAAAGATTGGTTCTACTCTGTGTACCATGAAGTACGGCGAGAGTCTGGTAGATACCTGGATGGTTACTCTCTCGGCCCGTAGTACCACATGCGCATATTGATACCAGCGAGACTCATTCCCCTTGCAACTTTTCATGATGGCCTCCCGGACACCTCGGTGATGTCGCTCAATGATTCCGTTAGCTTGCGAGTTGTATGGTGATATTTGGACATGGTTGATGCCGTATTGTGTGACGAGGTCCTCCATTGCTGATATAATGGCTGGGGCGTTGTCGGTGACGAGTTCAGTGATTGGACCCCATCTGCAAATTAGCTCTTCAAAGATAAATGATGCGACAATCTTCGCAGATTCCTTGCAGAGCATCTGCCATTCTGGATATGCAGTGAGCGCACAGCGAGCATGAATGATTTGGTCAAACGCGCCAGCCCTCGGCATCATCATAATGTCAATGTGTACCCTTCAGAATATTCCTCCGGGTATCGCAACTATCGGCAGGATGTGCAACTTCTGGGTCTGTTGGATCTGGCACTCGTGACAGCTCCTGTTATACCATTTGATGTCTTCAGTCATTAGCAGCCACCAAAATCTGAGAAGAAGACGGATTTGGATTGTAAATACTCCCTTGTGCCCAAGGTCATCATGTGCCTCTTTGAGTAGCTGATACCGCTTTGCTTTGGGGACAACAAGCTGATGCTTCCCCTGCATATGTTTCCTCCATAATCTGCTGTTGAAGATGAAATACTGTTGAGATGCACTGACGAAAGTCTTGAATTCTTCATCCGAGAGTTCTGAGGGTCGTTCTCGGTCCTCTATGAATTTCTGAATTTTCAAGATTCTCGCATCTTGTGCTTTAGCAATCTCAGAGCGCAGGATGCGGATATTGTCGGACCCATCTTTAGTGGTACCTAAAAATGCAGAAAGGACAGGGGGTGGGTTAGCGGGTTTGGTA